AATTCTGTAGTCTAAAAAGAAAAATCCAACCAACCAAACAAGCAAACAAAGAAAACAGCAGTAGTATACAGGAAAAATTATCAAGAAACCCATACACTTTCATTTGGATTATCTGTAATGGCCAAAATCTCAAAGACAATATAAATCTATAGTTAAATTCCAACATAGCGAATTAGGAGGTCTTTGTTTCTGTATCTGCTGTTGTTAATCTGTCAGCTTTCATTAGACCCACAGGTTCAGTTCTGCACTCCTCAAAGCTCAGAGCTGTACTAATTTGTGTAATTGATACAGGTGTCATGGTTTAAGGCCAAATGACAGTGCAGAGACTAACTAGATTTGGATACCAAGCACTTCAATCACAGATACATGCAATTTTCAGAATTGCACATCTTCTAGTTCTACTGGAAAAGTGGCATAGTCCAGGAGAGAAGCTGATGAGATAGTTTAATCTTTCCTGCCATGTCATGTGTCCTTGTGTGTGTGTGTGTGTGTGTGTGTGTGTCTGTTTTGTGTGTGTTCTCTCTTTACAACTATGAGTATCCTCTTCTTTTTGTGCTTTTAATATATTTAAAACAGCAAAAAATGTTAATGATATTGCTGTTAATAACACTTGCCATAAGCTTCAGCTGTAAGCTTACTGCAAAATAAAAAATATTCAACTCAACCAACAGCATCCCTCATGTTCGCACTCCCTAGCAAAACAACAGCAACAAAAACCCTGTGGCTTTCTATAATGTAAAGATTTCTCAGTTGGATTTGATCCAATTTATTTCCAGTGAGATTCACAGTCAGGAAGAAAAAAGTTACTCTGCTTTGAAAAATAATGATAATAAAAAATTGAATAGACTCATTTGTATTCTTCCATCAGCTACCTATGATTCATACTTACATCTTGGAATACAATACATAGATGAGTCATACTGAGAAACAGCCTCTGCATCAGAAATTACACTGTCAGTCTGGAATAACATTCTTTCCCAAACTAAAACAAAGATGGGCCTGCAGTAACCACAGATAAAGCTCCACAAGGTTGGAGTACTTGTTCAGAAAGCCCCTCTGGATTTGCAAAACCAGAGGCTGATTCAGAGCATATGAAATCCACCCTCGCTAATTCCCATTAGCCCTGGTCCTACTGGGAACCTCACAGTCTCACAATTTTAGGCTATGATTTTTCTAAGTACAAGATGTCTTAAAGAACAGCTTGAACTTTATTCTTGCTGAGCCTCCCTCCCAGGCTTTTCTCTTTCAGTACTTGAAGGACTGCAAGCCTTTGTCCTGCTCCCAGAGGGTTTGTGTACATCTGAGGTCAGAGAGATAGGCATCAGACTTCATGTCTGGTAATGCAGACATTACAGTGCACACACTTAGCGATGTTTACAAGTGGTTTGCTGAGAACAACAAATTCAGATGCATGTGCCAGGTCAATGTCAGAACTGGAAGTGCTGCTGCAATGGTCAGTGTTCTGTCCCTGCTGACAGGAAGCTTGGAGTGGTATCTGCCTGAAGAACTCCAGCCATGCAAGCGCACTGCCTAGGGAGATGTCAGGAGATTTACTGCTCCTATTGTAGAGCCTTTGACGAAGCAGTGTCTTTTTTATATTTACATGTCCTCTTAAATTTGTGGAGGCTAGAACATCAACTTTGTCTTCTTGTTCTCTTCTGTACCTAGATCATCATTCCAGATGGAAGGAATGAAGCGTAGGAGCTTGCTAGCTTAACCACGATCCTTTAAATTTTTTTGAATGATGAAAATTGTAAATAGAGAGAGGGAGCTTCATACCAACTGCATTTGCTGACTGCCAAATGCACTGTAATTCCCTAGCCTTTTAAATAAATGCTATTCATATGCATTGCAAAGCCCGCAGGGGGAGGAACTAGGCATACCGACATTTGAAGCTCAGTACTAAAAAGGCTGGATACCATTCAGGCTGTGGTTTCTGAATCCAAGTATGAATAAAACAAGCATTTTTCCCAAATTCTGGAAACACAAGACTGCACACCTTAAATCTTGTGTATGTAGTTTGCCTGATTAGTGCTTTCAGAGTATTAGTAAAACTTAGTAAGGGCAAACAGATGTGAAAACTGGAGTATATGAAATATGAGTGATTACGTTATATATGCATCTGAGAATTGTACTTTATTCAAGTTGGGATCTAATCCAGCTCCCATTAAGTCAGTGGGAATGTTGCCAATGAAAACAATATTAACAGGATCTGGCCAAAATAATTTAATCCACCCTCTTCAGCTGCTGTGCTCACAGCAAGAATGTTGCCATTAAGAAGTTCATATGGACATAAATATTCACTTTAATTTCCTAGACTTTCCTATGTCTACTTGCATAAAATTGCATTTGTGATTAAAAAAAGAACAACATGGCTGCATTTTAATCACTATAGGTTCAGGAATAGATAGAAGAAAAAAAAAAACAGTTCAAATATTTTGTACAGATTAGATTGTGATCCTGAATTAACAGTTCATGTTAGAGTTTTTTAATTTCTTCTTCTTTCTCTGTTAACTTATCTTTCTCCAGGCTAATATGTGAGGGTGATGGGTTTGGTCTTTTTTCTACTGTAATTGCATTCTGTAATTGTCGTCTCACCTCAACTGCAATTTATTCCAAGAGGAAGAAGGGTTTAGGGGTGTACCATGCAAAGTCTATGGCCAATAGGCTGCTACAAAGCAGCCTATTCGGAGGATGTTAGACATCAAGACATTGACAAGGGCAAGTCTTTACCACCTGAAGTTTTTGAAAACAGTTTCAAAAGTTTACAAAATCAGATCCTGCTTGTCAGTGCTGCTAGTTGTCTACTAACTTCATTAGGAGTTGCCCTCATTGAGAATTGCTCAGGTTTACCTCTTTGGCTTCCCTGGGGAGGAAGAAGTGCACTCCTTGGAGACCTGGTGCCTTCTCCTCCCTTCACAGAAGCAAACCAGACAGTGGCTGTCATTTAAAAGTAACTACATGCTCAGTAATATCTGGTGTTCACCGTGGTTATTTCAGCTGTAGCTAACTTTGGAGGGGAGGACAACCGTATCTTCCATGACTTCCCTGCCTTTCTTACAAGTTTCTGTTCCTTTTTTTTGCTGATGTCCTACAACCTTATGATATCATCCTATCCATCTTGTTACCAAAGTTAAAAAGTCATTAAATCCTCAGCAACTGTCCTCACTCCTGTCTCCCCCCTCTTCTTTTTCTCTTTCTGAATCTTCGGAAATCTTTGGAGACTAAAATAAGGAGAAGTTGTAACATGCATTCATATTAACACCACTTTATGGCATCAGAACCATATCTAGAGTTCTGATCCTTACGAAGAAATCTCTTAGGTTTTTTTGAATGTTTTTCTCTGTGCTTAAAACTGTTTCTCAGTGAAGCCTAGGCCAGGCAGAGAGCAATTCAGAAGATAGTAACTCCCCTTCAGAGTGGTACTGCAGTGTACACAGATTTTGGTTGCCAAATGGCACCACTGAGAAGTTGTATATCTAGACCCAACTTCCTCACATTCCAGTCTTCAAGTTTACTTTTTGATCTTCTTTATGTTCCTTTCTTTTGATAGGGACTTGCTAGTGGTTTCCAAATCCAAACCCTTGTAGTTTCTCCTCTTTTTCTGATATTTGTGCAGATTTTCATTTAGTGTCTGACTTCTGCTTTCCTCTCATCACATAGCCTTGGCTTTTACTATCTATGTACTATAGTGTAGAGATATGTGTACTAGCTATTTTGTTTGGGGGTTTTTCTCATTTCTTTGTTTTTCTGTTTGTTTGCTTTTTAAACTTATAATACTAAACTACAGAGACAGTTAACCAGGAAATATTTGGATCATTTTGCGGTGGCTACTTGAATTCTATTAATGAATAGAGAAGGTTACAAATTTCTCATACTCTCCTAAAAATATTTGGAAGGATTTTATATGTGTCTCTGCAAAATCATTTAATTTTGTATTCCAACTATCTGGTTATGAAGTTAATAGTACAAGGGGTGCTCTGAAAGTAATGTCTCCAATTTTATTTATTTATTTTAATTTTAATTATTATTTTATTTATTATACAACAGAGGTGGATGGTGGTGGTATGGCATCAGAGTTGAACCTTCCCACCACTATTCCATTACATTTTGTTGTTATGTGACAAATAGCAGCAGAGGGGCAGTCTCACAAATGGTGTCTGACATAGAAGTGCAGATAAAGCAAAGATGTGGAGTTGAATTCCTCCATGAGAAAAAAACGGCACTCATCATCATCATCACATGCTTCCAGAACTTTTGTAGAGATCAACAGTGGGTGTAAGAAAGTGAATCGGTGGGTGGTGCATTTCAGCAGTGGCAACAACAGTGTGAAACAGAAGTCACATTCCAGATGACCATGCAGATTTTTTCTAGCATGGCATGCAGACTTTTGCTCACTGAGGGCAAAAATGCAAAGCTAATGATGGGGACAATGTTGAAAAACGGTGTTTTGTAGTTTTTGTAGCTGAGAATTTGTTTTGTCAAATAGTGTTATTGTGCTGTATGTATCTGTTGTAATTTCCATGGAAATAAATAGGAGGCATTATTTTTGGAGCGACCTACATATATTAGGTTTGGTTTCTTGGCAATGGATTCCATTAAAATCCTGAATAGGAAATGAGATAAAAACATTCCCCCTGGTTATAATGAGTTATTAGTTCTATGACAGAACATTATTTTCTACTTATATTTAGTGAATTATTCATTACAAGGAGATTAGTTGAAGAAATGACTCTAAAAAAGAAACAAAATCTCTCAACATATAGTTGCTTGATTTTTATTTTATTTTTGATTACCTAACCTATTGAGAGAATCAATGAATCTTTACTGTATTCCTTAATGGCATGGAAACACATTATAACGACACAGTAGCTTATTTATAGCTATATAAAGTTGAATTACTTTTAATGAGACAGTTGCATACAATTATTGCAATCACACTGAAGTGGAACTGCTACCTCAGCACGTTTCGGAGTAACTCTTAGGATTTCATTTTGCAGCTGGTGGAAAAAGTAAACTTCGTCTGACCTGCTCTCCTGGATGCAATGCATGCACTGTGTGCACTACCACTGTTTCTGGAAGGAGGGCACCCATGCTGTTCCATTTTAAGCTGTAAACACCAATTCCTCTGAGATGTCCAACACTTGGTGCAAAATATGAGTAAGTAATGTTTTCATGGATGTCAGCTCTCACAGTAAGTCTGTTTTCTGTTTCAATTAATATTTTGCATAAATCAGTGTCTCAGTAAAATAAGCAATACCAGACTGAAAAGAACCCAAGACAACTGTAATTAAGCCACATGTTTAATAATGTGCAGAACAAACAATGGAAAAAATTACTCTCTGGTTAGTAAATCAATTGTAATCAACCTCATTCCACCCACTCATCCACCTCTATGAGGGGATAATACAGCTGTAGATATCAGGAACAAATCCAGCAACTAAATTAATAAAACCAAATTGGTGGTTCAGCTACACGTGTTGGCATGAATGTATTACTCCCTACAGCTTTATCTCTACAAACATCTTTTTGTTCCCAGAGGGCGCTTAAAAATACATAGTATACAAAGAAGTATAAAAAACTGTGCAGCCTTATAATTACTACATCTTTTAAGAGTTTCTCTGCCTGTTGCCAAAGAATTTGAAATATGATGGATTTCCATTAACAAACTGACTCCAACAATCATATATAACCTATGGGCTCATACTACTTTAATCTATATTGAATGAATACGGCTTTAGGAATATCTGGAGTCATGTTTTCAGGCAGCTTGTTAAGTTCAAAATAGTTAAAAAGAGAGCTCAGTGGTACAGTGAGTACCACCAAACAGTATGGGCTAACAAGTCAGTTTGATTCTGCCACTTTGATGTAAATACAAGATGGTACAGGCTCATCATTCATCAAACCCTTCCTAATAGATGTAACAGAAGAAAGGCATTTCCTGCCTACCAAAGTGAGGGGGAAGATGCAAAGGAGGAGGTATATCATGTTCTGTAGCCTGAAGATAAAAGTTACATACATGTTAGCAAATGTGGAAGCTTGGCAACAGGTTATAGCTGCTGGCTGTTTTGCTGTGGTTATCTCTTGTTCTTGCCAAAAGGGATTGGTACAAATAAGTAGGAAAAAAAAAAAAAAAAAAGTGTTTACAATAAGGAGCAAGGCAGCATCCTTTCTGCAGGAGAATTATTATGTTGCTTAGGGTACTGATACTCGTACGCACATGGCAATTCTGTTGCGCCTGTCCAGAAGGCTGTCTGAACAGAACTGGGTTGAACTCTGATGTTAATTTTGAAATGTGTTGTAACACGCAGATGTTGGTGGAGAATATGCATGAGATTTTATAACCCTTGCTAATTACCATGAGTGAAAGATGGTTGAGCTATCGATGACTGCATTTAGTTATCTGTCAGTACCGTATTCATGTATGGAATAAAGTTCAGGACTTCATCTTGGGTTTAAAAAAACAAAACAAAACAAAAAAACAACAAACAAAGAAAGTTTGTTTAATGATTTTATCTTACTGGCCTTCAGCTATTGCAACCTGTTCAAAAACCATTTGTTTTTAAAGTACCATTTTAAAAATAAACTCAAAGTGTAAGAGATGAACTGTGGGCATGGAAGACAAAGAAAGAAAAACAGAAGTTTGTAATTCCTGGATTGAAATTCCCTGCAAATGCTCTTCAATATAGGAAGGTTCAGATCCCCAGATCCCTTTCCTAAAGAGAAGATGAAACTAGATTATTTTTCTATATTTGCTATGTAAGATTTCACTAATCAGCATTTCTTGGATAAATGAATGCCAGCTAAATATCAATTTTTGCAGGCTTCCAGCAGATTAGAGATGAGGAAATCCGGTAAATACCTCCCATCATGCACACAGACTCATACACAAACGCGTTACTAAAATAGTAATTCTTCCTGTACGAAAAAAGCTTTATAGCTTTAACTGCAGCTTATAAATATTAATGAAATAATTGTTTGGTAAATCCTTGTGAACTTAGATATCTAGAAAACATCTAATTGTTACATAGTAAAACCAAGAATTTGAAGGAATTTTTAAAAGCTGTTTGAGGTTTAAGTCCCATCAGTGACTTGTTGTTTTTGAAAATCTTGAATTTTATTTTATGTTGAAATCACATTTTAAAACTTCAATTAATAATGAATTGACCAAAACCATGAAAATAAGTGAGAGGCAAAATGAAAAGTTGGAAATGGAAGTCTTTAATTTCATTTTTTAGATCATTCTGTCTTATTAAAAAAAATTAAAAACAAAACAAAACAAAAACATCTGTGTGTGAACTGGACTGATTATTTTTCTTGATTCAAAAGATGCATAAGACTTGCTCATCTGTCTTGAAGTACTAGTGTGCTAAGCTTTGAAAGTTGCTTTTCATTATCTAAAGGGGGTCCAAAGGAAGAAAGGGACAGACTCTTCAGCAGGATTTGCTGTGACAGGACAAGGAGACGTGGTTTCAAACTAAAGGAGGGGAGATGAAATTGGCTATAAGGAAGTTTTTTACAATAAGGTGCTGGCACAGGTTGCCCAGAGAGGTGATGGATGCCCCATCCCTGGTAACTTAAGGTCAGTCTGGACTAGGTTCTGAGCACCCTGTTCAGTTCATTGCAGGAGAGTTGGATTAGCTGGCCTTTAAGGGTCCCTTCTAACTTAAATGATTCTGTGATTCTATGATGCCACAAGATCTGTGGATGAACATCCACCAGGCATAGTCTTTATTGGACCTTCTGATCATATGCATCTAACTTAGTTTATTGACAGTACAGCTTGTGCTCCCACATATCTGGGTTTGAACACTGGTGGCAGAGGCTACAGTAATAGCTAGACAAAGAAAACTGCAGAGAAAACATAGTGTGGAAATACTGTCAGTGGGCCTTTCTGGCTGTGATGCAGATCTTGAGAGGGAAACAGAACAGGGCAGGTGCTCTACAACCCCATTTATTTCTTTCGGTGCTGTTATTTTATAAAGTGGTTGGAGTAATCTATAATGTGCAAATAATCCTAGGACTGGAATGCAAAGCAAATGTAGAATTGTTCTTCCAGGAAGGGAATTGGATGCAGCAATGTAGATGCTGCTGTACTAAGCAGAGCCAGTCAGAAGCACCTGATGAAGACATCCTTCTGTATTATATAGGCATTACAGGCAAAGGGTTAATAAGCCCAAATATTCTCACTGAACCTGAAGTCATTGCAAAGTGTGTATTAGACTGGTCCTGCTGTTTGCATTCCACCTTTTGTTTTTTGCTGGCTAAATGTAGAGTCTGTGAAATAAGCATTATTACCATGGGAAATAAATCCTGATGAACTTATGTTTACAGACTTACCACATGGCAACTTGTTTGAGTTGGTGAAAATGGTCACATTTGGTTTGGTGTCATTAGCTGGCAAGAGGCTGAATGTACTGCTAGCATAGCTTAGTGTTACATTTACAAAGCACTGCCAAGAAGTATTCATATGCAGTTGAAGGAAAAGAGGTTGAGTGGAATGTGAGTCAGACCCTGAGTCAGCTGTCCTCCAAACAGCCAAAAGCTGCTTTATCCTGTGTCACTGCCAGTACTTAGGAGGCTCATGCCACTCTAGAAAGACGCTAATTTCTGCTAGGGAAGGGGATTCTGGAGCAGCTGTTACACCTTATGCTCTGGCACCCTGCTAGCAGGTGTGTATAGCCACTAAGCCACTGACACGGTTCTTGGCTTACACAATCTGTGGCTCAATTTAATTTAAAACCTTTGAGTCTTATGGTGGAGTGAGAGATACTTGGGGAGTATTTGAGTCCTCCCCAGCTGGATTGGCATGCTGAGTTTGCAGAGGTATCAGCCAGTTCCTAGGAGCAGAAGCACTGTGCTACTGAAATCATGCAGCTCTCAGTGGCCTTACTGTGTGATTATCTGCATTTTAAGTAGAGTGAATCAAGCAGAAGTAAAGGATAAAATGAACAAACGTCTTCATCAAGATTTATAACACGTCAAAACCCAGGAGAAAAAACTGCAGTAATGATCTAGTAGATGAAAATCAGTTGCTTTGCATTACTAATGGACAGTTTACATTATAGAGCCACTATCCCATATTACACAATATACATCATATAATGTCCTCCCTATCTCAAGTGGATAAATAACATTAGCACAAAGCCAAGATGATTCATGGCAAGAACAAATCTCTCTGTTATCCTTCTTCCAACTAAGTTTTTAAAGTATTTCTATTGCATATGAACTACTTCATTGGCCAAGCTAATTCTTGGAGTAACTCCCTTGGCTCCAAAGATGATTTTGTAGCTGTACGCTACATTATGTCGTACATTGAATAGATGGATGTTATGAAAGAAAGTACTTGTGCTAATAGGCAATGACATCATCCTATTGCTCCAGAGCAAGTGGATTGCTAGCTTCCCTCACAGTTATCTCCATCAAAGACCAATCATTTCTCTTTTTCTGTTCCTACTCTAAAGCAATTAGCTCCTTAAAAACTATTTTTCTGTTTCTCCAGAGAATGATTCTACTTCTGCTTATGTTTTTAGTGTTATTAGAAGCTAATATGACTTATTCAGATGTTCAGATAGAAGTGTACCATTGTACTTGCAGTGCCTGTCACCTTGAAGATCTCAAATATTGGTTTATTACCAATCTTATGCCTTGTAATACTCAGAAGGTAAGCAGGTACTCTTGCTGCTATTTAATACACAAGAGAAATGAAAATTCTGTCATGCCTTGAAAAACCCAAGGAGTCGATTGTTTACATGTTGGGATGACCTTTATATTTTCACATTCTAGTTGTTTTTTCTGGTGCAGTCTGGCCATTGTTAGATGAACTGTGGACATCTAAGAAGGCTGCAGTTACTTCAGCACAGAGACAGTTTGCATACAGTCCTGGATCTGATACAACAAGCTGTTACATCTGATACATGTTTCTGATCACTGCAGAATCATTGCATCATCATAAAAGTGACCAGTGCTCCTTGGAATCCATGAGCTAATCAAATAAGAAAGGAAATTACATATGCAACATTTCAGAGTTTTAAATGGGAGCTACTCATAGGAAAACCCCATTCCATACTGAGGTGAGAAGAAAAATCTTCATAGTTGTAAAATTTCTGATCCAATTTTTCCAGAGACATCAGTGGCATTAATCAAGATGAAAAAGAATGCAAAGTTGCATTACTTATTATGCATGTACAAAATGCTAGGAAATGTAAGAAAAGAGTTTGATTGTCTATTTAATATTTATTTTCATTGACATACACACAATTAGTAAAAAGCTAAATTGTGCCTAAGGTTTTTACAATGCATATGGTCTGGCATTAAATATGAACATTTTCAGTCTTAAAAAATTAAAATTGAGAAAATGGCAAGCCATCAGAAATAAAAGTCACATTACACCCTAACTATTGTATCTATAGTGGCCATTGCTTCTTCTATTGTAACATGCAAGAGAATTTGAAAGCATTTAGATTTGCTTTTCCAGCTGACTGCTGCAGGTGCTGTGCCATTATAAATAACTATTCAGCTGTTATGCATTATTATCTAAATCACCATTTTCAACCTGAAGTATAAGCTGTACAAGCCATAGATCAAATCTAAGAAATTGGCTCTTGTTTACAGTGTAGTTATTTTAAAGGAAGAAAATACCCAGGAAATCAAACTCGCAAAGAATTTTAATTATGCTGCTTGTTCCTAGGAGCAGTATTACAGTTTTACATTCCAACACTGTGTGCAAGGGAAATGAAATACACAACACCTGTTAACAATACATACTCTGATGAATGCCTGGCCAAAAATCAGGTTGTGAATATTTTTAATCACATAGGGTGGAGAGAAAAAAGATGTTTCAATTTTTTTTTCCAGAGCCAGCCAAATATTATCAGCTTAGTGTAACGATTTAAATTTTATTAACACCAGATGAAATCATAGAGAGAATTTTTTTGACTGATGCAGAAATAATTATGATCATTTTACCATTATTAGAAGAGTACAAATGGATTCATGAGTACAGCAATATGTGTAGATAAGAAGGAAAAAAAGGCTTCCTTTATAATCCCCTATTTGCAGGCTCTGATTTTTTAGAAATTCTCATTTGGCACTGAAAATTTACAGAGCTGAATTTTACCTTAAGAAAGGAATTAAAGAAAGGAAGGAAGAAAAAGTATAAGAAAAAAAAAGAAAGGAAGACTTTTTTTCTACTGCATTCAGTTTCTCCATATTTTCAAAAAGTATTTTTTCAATGTGTCTGCGAGAAAAAAATATTCCTTGTATATCAAACATCCAGTTACAGTTTAGATTTTCAAACACAGCAAAGGCAGTTGAAATTTAAATAGTCGTTTGTCAAGAGTAATGTCTTTGTTGGCTTGGGTAGCATGGAAAAGGCGGTAACTACAAACTAATGTATGATCCATGGTATAGAACAAAAGCAAGAGGTAGAAGAAACATCAAACTGTGCTTGATGGGTCCAGGAGATAAACTAAGTTAGTTATGGATGGAAAAGACTGTAATCATCTTTTGAAGCCAAATCTGCTTTTGGAGCTTGTGCTTTCTTCGATGAAGACAGTTTCAAAATTCATAGCTGAAGGAGCACAGCAAGAAATCACAGTTGAAAAAGCATCCCCCCCATTTTGGGGACTTCACATTTTTACTGCATTTGAGTTCCAATTGCTAATAATGTAAGTAATGGCTCAGCTCAACCATCCTTATGTAGTCTGAACTTCTCTGGGTTTTGGTGTAATGTGGTAAGTTGCTGTTGTGATTTGTTGGCTGCAGGGCTGAGCTCAGGGAGCCACCAGTGGGGATTGCAAGAGGTGGGTGCATTGCTGGGCTCCAAGCAAACCGAAAGGCTGAGAAGACTGGAAATACTTGTCATGCAACCTAAAAAGCTTTGTGCTTCTGAAGACAAATGCTTTCACTGCAGAGTTCCCAGGGAACAAAGGAAGTCATGGCCTTTACAAAGTACAAAATTGGAAGAAACGCTTGTATACAAAGTCTGACTCACAACTCATGTAAAAAATATGACAAACTTCTTAGTCTAATTCATTAACTCTACCTTTCAAATGCTATCCCCGGGAGCAGTTTCTGTTGAGCTATTTTGTTCTCTTCTTGCCACAGATTGTTTATAAAGAATTATGGGAAATGACAACAAAAGAATCAAAGTTCAATTTTTCACAGATGAAACTACAGAATGCATGGAGTACTGTAATCCTGTCAGACAAGTGAGTAAATTATATCTTCGTTGCAACAATACACTGTTTACTGAATAACAATAAGAATATGTTCCCTTCCTCAGAGTAAAAATATTTGCTGTTAATATAAATAGTTCTGAATATCCCTGGCAGTATATGCATGGATGCCAAACAGCATTAAAACTCAAGCAGGATGTCACGTTTCAGCTTCAAGAAAGAGGGGAAGACTGTTAACAGATGTTAAAACAAGGAGGATGATTCACTTCTGGTATTTTACAGTAATGAAATTCCATTAACTTCTATCATCTTTCTTCACATTTCTCTTCAAGTAAATGACAAAAACATAAGCTTATGTTCAAGAAACATTCTGAAACACTGCACTGAAGCTTTCATTCTGCTTCTAAATTTCCTGTGATAAGCATGTGGGTAACTGCTTCCTCTGGACCAAAATACAGCACTGATTTTATAGCTCACGTCACAAGTATCAACGGAGTATCTCTGGGTACTGAAGCTGAGAGAAATTGCTGGCATGAGCTGAGTGCTATCCTTGCCTGTCTTTAACTTTTGAGCTCTGGGATGCTGAAGAACTGAAGAAATGGGTTAGACTGGAGTAGAATAATTCATTAGACTTCCACTCTCTGAGAGCTTAATTTTACTTTCTGTCTTAACTAAATCTATAAATTACTTTAATAAAGACCTTATGGAAGCATTTGACCCCAGTTTTAGAACAAACCCATGAATGTTCCTCAAGACATCACAAACAGAGCTGGTTCGCAGTTAAAAATACAAATGTATGTGCTGGCCTCAGGTCCCCAGTTCAGTGAGTTTCGCTTTTACAAGGAGTCATGTACTTAAGCTCTCTAGAGCTCTCCAAATTCATTTTTTACACGCAACCACATAATCTTTTCGATGTGAACATGGACATTAACTCCTCCTTGCAGCTCGCTATAAACATCTGCTTGCACAGCAGATATTTCAAATTCAGAATCTCAGAAGGAAAGTGCTCCCACGACTGATTACTGAGATATATACCTTTTTATTTTAGTGTACTCTGCCAAGAGGAGTCCATAACCTCAAATGAGTCAGGGAAGAAAAGGGGCAGGGCAGTAATAAACACCTACACTATAATTTTAACCATATTGCCTAGTTATCACAGAATAACCTTTATGCTTAAATATTTAAGGAGACTATTTGGACACATTCTTTCTTCTTGAGTGTGCTCGTCTGCTCACTGGGATTTGTGCTCTGAGATCCCACGTACATCAAGATAAAACACATGTACCATCTACCCCAAATTTACTACTTGTCTCTGGTGGAAGGGACTCCTAGGATTTTTGCTAGACTGTACAGTAACAAATTTTGCTCTGTCTGGAATAGACCCCACACTGTAAAGTGTATACAGGTATTGTTGCTATAGTTGGGATCTTGCTCCAAGACGTCACTTAAGCATTATGATATATCTCAGTAATTCATGCTTGCTAGTCCATATTAAATAAAAAAGAAAAGAAATACTAAGATACCTTGGAAGCTGTTTGTGTAGCCTAACAAGCACATTGCTCACGAAAGCACAAAGGAAAAATACAGTCAGTTTAAACTGGAAATAGTGATGTGCTTAAAGTTGAACATAGATTTAAGCTGGCACAGTAGTCACAGGGAATTTTTTTCAAAAGGTGTTTTCATAAGTTCTAGCATACAAGCCAACCTGTACCTTCAGTAATTATAGCCTCCCTATTGAAAATCCCCCTGTAATTTCAGTTGGATGTCATTTTTCACTTCCTGCCCTAGATAGTTATATGTTATTTTAAGAAGTTGTTAACATCACATGGAGAAGGTGGCAACATATCAACAGAGCTACACAACAAAGACATGAAAGAAGTAAAATATGAAATCTCTAAAAGAAATGATGTTCCTATTTTGGGGGCAAAAGGGCAGGAACAATGGAATCAGTGTATTTCTATTTTTTCACAGGCTTTGCTGTGTTATTAAGATGTAATAATAGTTTGAGCCCTTTACCTTACAGGGTAGTGAATTTCTATCTTCTTTAGTTTACCAACAGGCTGAAACAGTAATTCAAACTGAAAAGTCAAGTTTTGACTGTCTAAATGAAAAGTGAAGACAGATGTCTGGTCTTTTGCATGGAATTTAATATTCCAGTTCTTGCAAACTTGTCAAAATAAGTGGTAATTTATATCTTTAGAAAAAAATGTACAAGAGATGGGAATCTGTGATAAAAATAGGTCTGAAAAAAGAATATATATATAATATGTACGTGTATAATATCAAACAATACTTTAATCTAGATTATACGTATTTAATATATGTATGTTAATATTCTATTTACTTGATATCTCTGATTATCATTAAGCACCTACATTGCTTAATTTGGTAGATTTCTTCGAGTCATTTTCCTAATTCCATTAATTGGCATGTTCTGTTCTAAAAAGCTCTAGCCCCTGAAGAGCACAGCTCTTACAGTCAGTGAAACTGTGCTTTCCTATGTATTCTTTATAAACTTGAAAGTCTAAAGCTGGAATTAAATTGTTTGTTCCTTGTCACTGGTGTACAAATGGCTGTGTAAGATGCAGAAAGCTGATTTCTGTCCCAAGGGGCTTAAAGTCACACAGTAGTCAGCGCTGCTCCTTTTGCCTCAGTCTTGAATTTTGGAGTTCTTAGTGGATTAGTCTTGTCTGAATGCTGACTGTAAGAAGTCAATTAGATGGACTGAAATAGCTACCCACTAAATTATCCATATTGCTTTATCTTACGCATCAGCCCTCACTGTTTAGATTCTAAACAGTGAACTAAATGGAACTTGGAGAAAATCCTAAGTGTCTTTAGTTCATACTGATAGTATGCTGAAATGTTATATGCCCATTCACATTACTTCTGCAATTTAATACGTGGTAAGGGACTGTCTTGACCTACTGGCTTAAATAAATTCATATTTCTTCTTGAAGTTCTTGTTGGCAGGAGAAAGTATATGTCCCCTGGAGATGGACTACATGTCCTTTTAAGTCTTTTCTACCTAATTTCTAGGATTTCTATGAACCTAAATCCAATTTCTTGGCACTAGATGTAGCAGTCTTTTGGATAAGATCAAGAATAGAATCACTCTAACACTTGCTTTTATCCATTCATCCACCTTTCCTTACAGTGAAAGGATAATGGAATCATTGATAGAGTATGTGTTTAACTTCTCCCATTGCTCTGCATATTGTTTTGAATAATTGAAAAATTATTATTTGCCAAGTTTAACTTTCACTTGCTTGTTGCAGTGCCAAGTACTAAATTTACAAGTCCCTTAAAATAACTTTCAAATCATATGAAAATTTTCCCTACATATTAATTACACAGAAAGGGAGGAATTCTGAGATACACTGTAATGAAGACAGTGAAGCCCAAGCAGTTTATTTCCTTAAATAATTCAGAATTCTGCCCATCCTTCTGCTGGTACACAGAAGCAGTTATCCCCTTGTAGTTGTTACCAGAGTACCTTTAATTAGAATACCTTTAATTCTCATTGCCTGAGAAAGGGCAGAATTACCTTTTGTTTTAGAAACAAGTTTTCTCAGACAACCTAGGATTTATGAGCTTGTTTTTCTAGTACATAATCATGCCCTGAATTTTTTTTCTGAAAATATACAATATGTAAAACAAAAGAACATCACCTAGAGGGAATACTGTTCCCTGGATAAAATATCTGTGATGGATGTTATAAATGAGTCAGGAGAAGGTGATTAATTGCCACGTTAATGCACCTATATACAATAATGCACAATTCATTATTAAGAGCCATGTAACACTAATGTACTGTTGCTTTCACAAATTATCCATTTGTTACCCAGGGAGTCAAACTTGAATACTGCGTGCAAGATCTCCATGCATGCCTTTGCTTTTTTGATCCCCATCTCACAGGACAAGAATGCAAGCAATTTGTTGTCATGAGAGGTGGCAGCAAGGGGAGCTGTATGTCCGTCTAATGCAACAAGAAAGCCTCCAATAGGAATTTCCATCTGCTTTTCATCGTGAATTTGCCTACATGTAATTACTATGCTTAGTGATGCTTAACTAAAGGTGAATGAAAACGTGTTTGCAATTGAATGTTTTCTAAGACCTCCATTGCTATAAGGATGTGTGAATAAATTGAATAAGTTTGCAAAAACTTTCATGTTTTAAAGTAAGTCTTCTGAAAATCCACTCGTTTTCCTGTATTCTGCATAAACTTTGTCTTCTGCTGAAATCCAAGGACCTCTGCAAGCTAGTAAAAAAAAACAAAATCAGACAATCAATCTGGTTAGGACTTTGAGGGACTTAGTGGAATATTTTGGAGTCCTATTGCAACTGCTGGCTTGTTTTTTTTTCCCCCCAGTTGAAGATGGCCTACCACCGACAAAGCCCTGCAACATTTAGTGTGAAGCTTTGACTTATCCGCTCCTTCTGACATGGAACTCTGTGATCCAGGTGAGTCTGCTCCCTAATAAGCTGAGGAAGAAGAAAGTCTTTCTAGGAAGATAGCATGCTTCATAGCATCATTAGCAAAATGACCTGACAAAAGTTAAGGAGAGCAACGAGCTCTTCGCCGACCTCCTGTCAGGGCTGAATATAAGTAGGCCATGTGGTTATCCTTAATAGGACCAGGCACTGTGAGCTGAAGAGGCTTAATCAAGGACGAAAGGAAGAGGAAGAAAGTACCCCTGAGGTACTCCTGTGCTGGGTGATACTAGCTTGGCAAAACAATCTCAGAAACTTGAACTCTGGTTGCTCCTCAAATAAGTAGAAGAGCTCTTATTATGTAATGTTTTGTAAGGACAGGCTTTCAAATATGAACTGCTTAAATTATACATGCTGGAACACACACTTTCAGGGAACTTTTTCATATAACACAGCTACACAGAGGAGCTTTTCTTCTCCCCTGATCTGAAGTGTCTGTGACCATCTGCAATCAGAAAATCTGCCATGACTACCCATGGTAGGAAAGGACTAGATCAGACTTTTAAGACCACTACTTCTGTTGTACTTACTAGTCTTGGATTTGAAGGAAATGAAAAGGAGCTGCCTTAAACACTCACACTTGCATATAAATGTGGGTTTTATAAACATAAAAGAATCATCTTAAATTAGAAGCAACAGCCTAACGCTACTGTTGAATCTTTTTTGTTGGTGTATCTTTTATTTCTTATACCTTTATAAGTCTATCTAAATATTTAAATTGAAAATAGGAAGTTTAGGAGCTTACTGCTGGAAATGTGTGCTGCGTTTCCATCAGTGCTCAACATCAATGAATTTGCATAGTGTGAGTTTTATGTAAGAAAGAATACGGTCCAGGGCTAAGTCCTTTAAAGCTGAATAAGAGAACTGAGGTAATTCCTTCTAAGGGTTTTAAGCCACTATGTTTTTGACATTAAAAATGTTTGTGGAAGTCAGTGCATATTTTCAGTGCCAGAGGAATGTGGGGTTAAATCCAAAATCTACCTGTTACTGACTAGATTATCGGTATGAACATATACAATTTTATATTACATTCAAACATCAGATTTAATTCCCCAGTTTTTACACCTTACTGCGTGTGGTGCTTGCAGCTCTGAATAATGTTCTTATTTGGTTAGATTTATACACATACTAAAAGGAGAAGTAACCGCAGCTGTACGGTTGTCAGCTACAGAGCATGGCACAAATTGCAGGAATTCACAGTGTGGGCTCTGCACAGAGCTATGCAATTCTTTAAAATACTATGAATAATTCTACAAAACACTGCAGGATCCAGCTCTCTCAACTGCATTCCAAGAGATTCCTGAGTCCTTTTGGAATGCATGATTGGTGTGTATGTGTCATTACGGGTCAGACTGTTGTGGAGGAAGAGGAGTTGCATATATGTTGGATCTCAGACATCAGTCATGGTGGGTTTGAGTCTCTTGTGATGCGGGTACAGTGCTCAGTGTTTTGTGTGGTGCGATACACCAACGATGACAACCTTCAGAAAGTGGAAAAGTGCTCAGAAACAGCAGCAGACCTCAAAGCAACTGCAGAAATCCCAAGAGGTTCCCTTCTTTATGTGGGGATGCTGCAAAAATGTTTTGTCATTGCAGTTCCCTCAGCACCTTCATAAACTTTGCAAAGTTAGATGGCTTTTTCTTTGTTCTCATCACCGTTCACCCTCCAAATGCTTTATTCAATCCTTCAGGTTAAGTGCCATTACTCTGACTTGTTGCTGCTACAAGTCTGCAAACCACACAGAACTGACAGAACTGCTTCTGGGTCCAGTTTCATTTATTAGTATTCCACATACTAAACCTTTTACTTGCAAATCCTAATGAATACTTCAGTTGCTAAGTCATCTTCCCCTTATTGTATTATTCCTAAATCAGCCATAAAAGTCGACTGTGTAAGAGCATATATCTGCCAGCAGAAGCCTGCTGCTTTACACTGGCTGACCTGCAACAACGTGTGCAGCGTTCTCGGGCTGGACTGAGGTTCCAACACGGTGTCTCAAGAGCCGACGCTGCGATGCCGTTAGGGTAACGGCGAGGTGCCATCCATTAAAGCCCATCCCCCTGCCCGCTCCGAGCCCTCGCAGGGCCGCGGCCGGCAGCCCCGCGGCGGGGCACTGAGATGGCGCCCGGCGGGCTGAAAGCGGAGGCCGGGGCCGCGCGGGCGGAGCTTCGGGGCCCGCCCCGTTCCCTGGGCAACGGCGACGCCGAGCCCAGCAGCATGGCGGCGGCGGGGCAGGTATCCTCGCTCGTCGTATTTCATGCCGCCAGCCCCCAGCCCGCGGGGCCGCGGCGGGCAAGGGGCGGGCAGCGACCGTGCTGTTCGTCTAGCTGTCCCCGCGCGTTGGCACTCTCTCGCTTTTGCTTCTCCTTGATCTTTTAATTTAAGAATTTAAGTGTCTTCACCAGGCTCCTGAAAGATTAAAAAGAAAGGGTGAACGTTAAAATGCTTTCGGAGGATAAATGAAGGCAGTGTGAGTGTGTATTTCTGCGTGACCTTGTCACAAAAGAGCACGTAGCAGAGAAGGCCACCTGCCCGAAAGCAGCCGGGGCCCTTCCTGGGCGCAGCCACCGCCAGGGTGTGTGCGTCGGTTGGCACCGGGCTGCCATAGCAACCGCTGGCACGAGAGCTTAATATTTAGGTTTCCTGAAATGAATAAATCCTCTGCTGTGTAGAATGCATTATGCAAACGCTTTATGAGAAACACAAGTGGTTCTGACTGCATTCTATCTATTAGTGTTATCTGTAAATACTGTGGCTGTTGGGAGCGGTGAGCAAAAGGCCACAGGGCGTGCAGTGTGGGAAAGGACAGGCTGTCCAAAGGCTGAGGGACACGAGTTAGCAGAGGGCTGTTAGTGTAGTATGGATAGGTTGTGGTTAAACTTGATGATCTTTGAGGTCTTTTTCAACCTGAACAGTTCTGTGATTCTTTGATTCTATTATTTGAAAAGTAGCACTGAAATTTTCCTCTATTACTTCACAGCTTTATAGAAGGATTCTTTATAGGATTTTTTTTTCATGTATTTTCTGTACTGAAGTTTGTGTGATACGTGATAGCACGCCTTTCTGAGAATTCCTGCTATCCCCTGTCACTTATTTTTATTGCAAACTGTGGGTTTGTGCGTTTTTATTGTTATATTATTATTATTATTTTATTATTATTATGATATAGCTTTCAATTTTGGCTGAAGCTAGCATGTTCTGTGCATAAGCCATAGCAAACATGTTATTTTGCCACTGTATTTGCCTCTTGAGAAAATTCCTTTTGAATTAAAATATTTTTATAACTGCTCAGACTTCAGCAGAAATCATATTACAAAACCTGAATGCCGATCTCAGCAATTCCTGCTGCTGTTTTCTTTTAAAAAACGCTTTCTGTTCCATGTAGCAGTCTGCAGCAGTGAAAAACATTAGTAAATTTGGTAACTCATCTGCCTGAGCATTTGGATTGCACATGTTTTCTGAAATGTATTCTGTTATTAAGAGGACACCATCAGCCTCTGTAATGGTCCTCCCATGCAGGCATTATTTTTTGCATATGGTATATCTGCACTTTTCTCTTTTGAATACTGCTGAAATTAGTGATGCTGTTGTGTATTTCCTCATTTGACAACAAAATAAATACTATGACTAAAATAGCAACTATTGATTTTAACTTCTTGTTATGGGAGCAGACAAATGGTTTGGTTTTTTTGTTGTCTGTTTGTTTTGTTGGTGATGGTTTTTGTGTGTGTGTTTTTTTGTTGCTGTTTTTTAACATATAGGAACAGTGAATGCATTTCTGTTTCTGCCTTAACCATTAGGTAGACAGCTTCAAGATTTTCTGCTTCTGCTGAAGTATTTGACAGCTTGATAACAAAATGCATATAATAATACAAATAACAGCCTGTGTTGCTATTTTTTTTATTCCCATTTTGATTAAAGTTGTAACTGATATGCAACACTGTTTCAGGATACATCTGTACTGCTGTCAGCAGTATTGCTCGGGCTGAGGTAGCTGAGCCAGCTTTAAATGAACCAGCTCAGTACTGGAAACTATCTGTCTGTGGCAGCAGAGAGTTCAGTCCAGTTTCATTTCCCCAGGGGTGAGGGCAGGAGGATCTCGTTCCTTACGCTTCAGGTAGCTGATATAATTTGAGAGAGCTGGCAAGGCATTCCTTTGTGAATATATTTTTGAAAGTCAAGATTTTGCAAAGTATATTGTTGTATTTTCAAACAGATGCAAATAACTAACATCTTCAACCAGAGCAGAGGTCTCATCCCAAAGGACAAGCCTGCTTCCTTTCAGGAACTCTATTGCTAATTTCCATTTTTGTGTTTTAATGTCTTACCGCTCTGGAGAGGCCCTCACCAAAACTGCAGATGCTGGAGTGGTTATTTTTAGAATTCTTCCCCACCCAAATACAAAGCTTTTTGCAGCTTGCTGTTTATTACTCTGCTGTTATTATTTCCTGTTTCACAGTGATTTGTAAACACTGGCTGAGGAATTCAAGGAGGATCTTGTTCTTTTGTTTCAAAAGATCTCATTTGGTATTTTGATTTGATGATGTTGACAAGAGGTGCCCAAAGCACTTGGAGTGACATATTGAACAGCTTGAAATATATTATACATTCAGAACAGCTAGAAATTATTTGAAGGAAAATAAAGGATAAAGGGAACAAATAATTCTCTTGTAGTAGTTTATATTTACATTGGTTAAGTCTATTGCTGACAATATGTATTGGCAGAGGCTTTTTTGGTTGTTGTTTTTTTTTTTTTTCCTCCCCCAACACATGAGGATAGTATTATCAGAATGAAATCACCTTGGATTGTTTCAGTCAGTCACAGCTGCTAACAGTAAAAGGAAAGGTAAATTTATCACCATATCAGTGAACATGCAAAAAAACAATTTCCCTTTGATTTTTTCAGTGGTGGTTAAAGACAGCCATCAAAAGGCAAAGCACAATGGTGATAAACTTTTAGTGGGGGTGAGGTTCTGCCCCAAAATAATTTTTCCATAAATACAGGATCATTCAAGTTACTTTAGGTCTTTCTCTGTTTTTGTTTTTTTTTTTTTTTTTTAAACTACAGAGGCACTTCTAATTTTAAAAATTTATCTTCTAAATAATGTAATTTCTCTCCCACAGCTGCTCACCAGTCCTTTAGAACTGTATTTTCTTTTACATGATACCTGCACTTACTATGGACAGTGTTGGCACAAATACACCCTAAAAATTAAGAACTTGAGGGTAGGAAGGGATGTTGTTGCTATGGAATAGTTACAGAGAGTAGGTGATGAAATGTACAGTGAGCTTTCACCTTGCCATGTAAAGTGATGGATTTTGATGTGCATATTATGGAGCTTCATCTGCAATACTGAGTTACAATAACTCAAGTCTCTCTTAAGTTTAAACCACGGGCTTTAGTTAGATAAATAATGTGTTTCCAAGGCTAAACTCTTTCAATGTTTTGAAAGGAACTATAGGAGACTGTACAAAGCATGTGGGGTTTTTTTAAATAATTATTTGTAATCTTACATATTCCATATATTGCTGCAATACAAATGTATATGCTAAGACTTCTGTGAATTTTCCTAAAGGCCCTTTTTGTTATTTGTAATTCAAAGAATGAGATGGGCCTTAATGATAGCATGTTTGGTGTGCGCAGCCTATTGTATAGTGTAGGTGGGAAAGCTTCATGCTATAGTAAACCAGCTACAGGCAGGAGGAGACTAATTTTTGGTCAGGCCTTTTCTGACATGATGAACATGGTCTGATGCCTTTTAAGAAAAAGCGAAGGGTCTTTTGTATAGATTCTGGAAATTCAGATATTTTCTTTTCCAGAGTATTCAACTTTTTGCCTGCTAACCTGTTGCTTAGAGCATGAACATAAGAACTGGGAGGCAAAAAAAAAAAAAAAAAAAGAATACTACTGGTGAGCCTGTACTACTGGGCTACAAATGTGGCTTTGAATGTTGGAGATGTGGAGTGCGGGGGTTGGAAACTTCTTTTCTCTGCTTGGTTCTCCAATCCCTTTGTCCCTTCTGCCCACACCTGGCTTATAGCCATGGATGAGAAGCTGGAAGATTATCAGAACGCAAATCGTGTGCCTTGAACTTTCTTAAACTTTTTTTTTCTTTAATAGTGTCAAATGCATCATTTTATACTGTTCATCTGGGGTGATTCTTGTGAAATGGTAACGTTTTAGTAAGTAAGATTTTAACTGACGAACCTGTGAACTGTATGCTGCATATATAATGGTGCAAAAAGATATAGTGTTGCATTGGACATCCTGAGAGAAAGAGATGAACTTCCTAGGAATCAGTATCAGTTATTCTTTTAGTTCTGCCCTCACTGCTTCTAAAAAAATCAATTTTTCAATGGATTTGTAACACCAGCAGTCACTTCAGTACAGCATTCCTATTTTTCCTAATTATTCAAAACTATCTTTCAATAATAGTATAATGTTACTATGTTGAGCTACTTATTCATGTTTTCCTAGCTTGGGCATGAAGCCTCAGTTATATCAGTAGTGCTGACTGCAAAAGTGTTGCTTCTTATGCTGCATCAATTATAAAAACAAACCAGTGCCATGTTCCTCACTGTCTGCAGGAAGCCTTCGTTTACTTGATTCTTGTTGTTCTAATGAGGCATTCTATCTGAGACTAACTACATTGCAGTTAGAAATGATAACTTTTAATACTAAAGTGCATGGGACAATACTCGTGCTTAATTAGAAAGAAAAACCAGTTTGTCCACTACATTTCATATTGGTTGCTCTCAGCCTTGTTTCATCAGCCGTGCATGTAATTCAGCTTGTCCCAGAGATTTAGGTATATTTTGCAGTTCAGCAGCAGCAGGGGGAGTAGTGTAGCTTTCTTTGGGGGCTCTCCTTGACCAGTGCTAGATTTAGGTGGCAGTTAGCCCAGAACAATGCTTTTCAATCTAAAATCAGCTCACGTTAGGAAATCTTCCACTTCTTTCTCAAACTGAGGTAGAAATGTTGTTCAGGCTTCACTTTGCTGTGCCTCTGTAAAGCCCCAGAGGTTACAGATACACTTCCTGTGAGTTAATTATTTTTGGGTTTTACCCAGACTTGTAACCAACATCCAGGCAGGGTACAAACTGTTAACCTCTATTCCTTGTGCTTTATGTTGCAGCTAAATTTTTCACTCATCTTGTTGTCCACCTATGTAGACTGCTGATAAAGCCAGCTTGGATACAAGCATTTGGTGAAAAGTCATTTTGCAGAGCAGTCTCTTCTTAAAACTTGAAAACACTTTTGGGTTGTTTTCCTTTTATATAATATTCAGAGCTCAGCAGGACTTAGTTAAAGTTGATAAAGTGATGTTATACATAGTTTTGAGCTTTGCTAGGATTGTGTCAGAGTATAATTGGTTCTTCTTTAAATAACTACTGATAATCATTATCAGCAACATATCATTTTAACAGCCTAGAGATTGTCCAGGCAGATAGATGTCAAATGTAGTTTTGACTCTCTTTATAGATGATGATTTTATAATGTGCTTTCACACTTCATTCTATTACCTAGATGTTAAAAGATGTAAAAGTTATTTTTTCCAGTGTTTTTTATATTTCATAGATTTCTTACCAAAGTCCACAATGAAGTGATTTTGGCCAGTGACACACACTAAATAAAGTATTGTCAAATATTTTTTAGAAGACCACTGCATAGTTTTTTCAAGATCAGTTTGCTATCCCATGTGACATGTGCACCATCGTATTTCTGGCAAGGAGCTGTTTTCTGTTCTGTGGATACACAGACCTACTCTGAAACATTACTCTCAGATTCTTCTATGTGCATCGCTGTATTGCAACAAACATGTTGGAGTTTCTTGGCCTAAGAAAGGAGCAAATGTGGACAGTAAATTCCCAAAGTGCAATCAAGAAGTATAGGGGGAAGGTCAAATAGTATGGTAATGTGCATGTATGCCCATAATGCCTTAAGCATTGAGTATAAAATTTAGTGACTGTACTATCCGCCAAATCTAGATTCTTGGACAGTTTTGTACATTTACATTTCTGTTGTTTTTACTTATAAGTTAGTGACATATTGTGAGCAGCACAAGATTGAATTACATTCCCACATGAATTTAAGATAGAAATACTATTTTCCATATATCTGCCTAGTGAAAATGTTTTAGGGCATTTTGTTGCCACTGTACGATTATAGGTATGTTACATTTTTGGCAATTGTTGAATTAACCCCTTGCCTACTGCCTCAAAATCAAAATGTTATTTAGATAAGCTACTGACATAATTAAATACAACTTTCAAAATTATACTCATATATATGTATGTGTGTGTAGGAAGAAGACCAAGATCAGGATGCTGTAGGTGGACAGAAGGCTATTAATCATACGTTTCTTTCTTCTTCGCAAATTACTGCTTTGTCAGAACAAAATGTAGAAGGACTTCAAAAGTAAGTGGCAGTGTAACAATACTAGAATTAATGTTATCATGAAATAAAATTTGTGTACAGATTGTTAGATTTATTTTGTGATAGCTACCACGTTAATTGTTCAGTTTAAATATGTGATTTTAAATGTTTCATGAAAGGTGGGAAGAAATGTCATTCATCTCATATCTACTTTGTTTTAGTGTTTCCCATATCTTTTGATTTTTCTATTTTTTTATTATTATTTGATAGGTACTTCACACTGTTTGGTTTGTGGGTTTATATTCTTTTTAAATATCCTATATATGAAATACTAAGATGTAAATAAGCACAGGCCAATACTGAGCATTTCCATAAGTCTCTCTTAGTTAAGTCTTTTGCTAAAGCATTTAGGATGCTTTAATACAAGCTACTGAAAAAAAAATCAGAAAGGTTTTAAAAGTTTAGAAAGGAATGGAAATGTGAAGAGGTAGGTAGCTGTTATGGTGCACTGGGGGAAATAGGAGGCAGCCAAAGACATCTGAAGTAAGCCCATGTTGTCCTCATTGTAGCAAAACTCTCTCTTCTTATTAATGCTTAGTAGGAGCTAAGTTTAAGAGACCCAAGTTCAGCTTGAAACCTTAGACATATTTTTAGGATGGGATTTCCAGAAGTGCCCAAATAATTCGTGAGTGCTTGTCTCCACTGGCAAGTTCTTAATGAATTAAAAGCAAAGGGCTGGTGTTCTTAACGGGTTTTAGGGGAGAGAACAAAGCAAAACAGCATACTGTGCGAATACACTGAGTGTTTGAGAGATTAAAATATGATTCTCAAAATATAATCTTTCACTGTTTTAATGACAAAAAAATTCTTTATCTGATGAGATTTTTTTTTTAAAGGAAAACTGGAAAAATTATTTTTCCCTATAAACAATAAGATTTCTATTTGTTTATTATTTTCTCTTGACTGATGACCCGTTTCTTCAGAGGAGGTTGAAGATCCAACCATACAACTCACCAGAGACTAAAATATACTTAGTGACACAATTTATTGTGAAAAATTTTCATGGAGATTAAAAAGGAAAGCATTAAAAGATCATATGTTCCTTTTTTTTCTGTCTCAGCTGACCAGAGGAAGATGTGTATTAATTTATATACACACTTTACAAGTGAATCATGAAGTATGTGCTACATCAAACGGAAAGGGATAGTTCTGGGGAATTTTAACACCAGAACAGAAATTTTGTTAGTTTATCACAATGCATCATTTCTGTACAAAAATGGAGGCCACAGCAAAGTCTGGAAAATCAGAAGACATTATTTAATTCAGTATGAGATTTTTGAAGTCTTATGTTCTCATATATATTGGAGTCCTATACTCTGTAGGATTTGAAAGCCTCTGTGGAGGAAGAAATAGCAATCAATGTAACTAAGAAATCTAAGTCACCCATAATTTCCTGATCATTTATAGATACTGTTGTCAGTGACATGCTTTGCAGAATGTTGAAAAGATGAGTTCTGGCATTGTTAGCAGCATCACAGAAGATCTAAATCCCTGAGAAGCTCTGATTATGAAAACACAGAGTTGGCAGAGGCTTCAGAAAGAGAGGATATGGACTCTTTCAAACCTTGGAAAGTTCAGCTGGCCACATTCCACTTCTATTTCAGTACATAGTTAAGTGTTTTTAACCAGCTTGAATGTGTACAGCAGTACAAATTTGTTATGCAGAACAAAAGAATACATGGTTTTAAACAAAACTGATTGGATTATATGCTTTACTTTCTTAGCTATTCAGGCTTTAATTAAAAAACAACAACAGCAGTCATTTTATTTGACAGTGTATCTCTACTAGCCTGGTGAAAACCCTGAAAACGTAAGTTCTTTATGAGTAGATCTGAGATTAATGCTGTTATTAGGAAGGAATGAGAAGCAGGAATGAAAACACTCTTATATGGAAGGAGAAACTGATCATAGCTGGGACCTGTTTTGTCAGGTATTGCTAAGAAACCAAAGGCTGCTCTAATGTAAAGCTTCACTATCTAACAATATAGCTAAAGTTACATTGGAAGAATTGCAAACTGAAGTCCTAGCCCTGATCCTCTAAAATCTTTTCATGTGGAAAAAGGCATATAATTCTTATAAAATACGTGGTTAATTCCACAATTGGACAGAGCAACATAAATTTGTCAATAACAGCATGGTCTCCTAGAAAGGAATGTATTTTTCTCTAATCATTGCTTTTTTTAAGTAGGCGAAAAAATTTCCAGTTTACCAGAAAAATAGGATGAAACTTTTCCCAAATGCCTTGACAATTATGAAAGTGGAATACAAATTTCTAAGTATGTTAGGTGCTTTAAGTAATTTTATATTATTTACCTTATTTCTAAATTATAATTTTACTTCACAATCTGCATGAAAAATAATGACCAAAGGGAAACAAGATCTTTTTAATATTATAAACTTATCTCAAAACAAGAATGTGTGACTAATTGTGTCATTTCACTCACCAAACCCCTTCTTCAACACTTACTTTTCTTTTTGTGTGCATTTTGCATGCATCTCTTTGGGTTTTTTTCATCTTTTTATTTCATTAGTGATATCTTTACATTTAATTACTGTCTGTTGAAATTTATAGTCGCTTATTTACTTATTTCGGTTGTAGTTTTTTTTTTCTTCTGGTCAACAGTGTTCATATCTAGAAATAGATGAAGCAGAGTTCCTGTAAAATATGTACGTGTATACATGTAATATGGTCATAATAGATATATAATCATACATTAAATTTTGAAAGTTTACAAGTAGAAACTCCGTTCTTTTACTCTGATGTCTCTTTCAGAAAGCTGGCAGAGTTTCTGAATTTTAAACAATTAAAGACATCTTTGAAGGAAGCTATTCTGCTAGATTATTATACTGCAGGATTTTGTTGGGCAAAAGAAATGAATTTCAGTCTCATGCAGATGTCACAATACATGGATCTCTTAAACTTCCTGTTAGAGAACCTCAGTGGTAAGTATAGTTATAAAGTTATAAAATAAATACACCTGAAGTGGAAGGCAAGAATGCTTTCCAATCATTTTAATGAAGTGGTTTTTAACTGCAAGTATTGGTAAAATGATTTGTTTTCCTCTTGAATACTGTTCCTTGTACTTGGTAATAATTTTCCTCAAAAGACAACTTTGAGAGAACTGTAGTCTGTTGAGCAGAATGTCTCTCAATCTTTGTACAGTATGTGCTAGAAAAGGAAAAGGCCCTGAAAAGATCTTATCATTAGCTTGTTAAAATAAATAATAATTGCAGTAGAGTGGGAGCAAAGACCATCTAAATTCCAGTGCCAGCTCTCTCAGTGACTGTCTCACCGTAGCCTTGGGCACATTTCTCTGCTGTTTGAGATATTCAGTACATGCTATAGAATTACAGCAGATGAATAATATGTATTTTGTCCTTGGAGGTGAACTCTCAGGCAGCTTTCTATACAGCAAATTCTGCACTTTGGGCACAAAATGTATGGGTTAACTAAAGAATAACGAGGGAAGTATACTGTCATCACTGCTGAAGTTGAAAAATTACAGTGGAAGAAGTTTTAGCTCTTGTGGCTATGAGGAAATTTGCAAAAAAGCCTGTATCTTGAGTCTGGTGGGAACAAAATATCCAGAAAAAAATTGCAGCAGCTTCCTCTCAAAACCCCTTTTTCTGAGATCACAGCGCTTACTTTATATTCACTTTGAAGGTAATTATGTTGAAAAGAGTCCATCCCAAAGGAAAAGTGAAAGGACTCAGCGGATCCATTCAAAGTAAAGATGAATATTTAAAATCAAGCCCTTAATAATTGTTATACTCTTTCATTGTAGTTTAATTCAAGTACCTTTTCGTTCTTGGAATTTTGACAGAATATGTATATGCTTTATGATCATTGGAATTCCAGTTGTCCTTCCTGTCTCCAGTGAGAAAGTATCTTAACATGTGCTAGCTATATTAATATAACAATGGAGAATAATGGAAACGCGTCACAATTTAGTTTTATGAGACTGTGATGCAGGCATACTAGACTGGCTGGTAACACAATGGATTATTAAAGATGACTTACATTTTTCAGGATCTTTACTCTGGCAAATCTTTAGGTCTTTGATCTGAAATTTTCCGTGGCAATGACAGCCTCAGAGCAGTTCAGCGGGCTTCAAACAAGGCAGAGGTGTCCCAAAAAAGTAATGCCTTATTTTGAGGTTGGTTATTTATGTATGTATGTATGTATTTATTTTCCCAAACAGCTCCACTACCCCTACACTTCAAAGTGTAAAGCAAGTATTATGAATTTGGTTTTTGCTGGCCTCTGAAAATCCATTCATATTTAGCTAAGATTCTAAGAAATGAAAATGCAGTTTGTAAAAGCTTACAAGAGGCTTCTAATAGTTTTTTCTCATAAAATTTCATTTAAAATTCAAAATTTCTATCTTACAAAGTATACTGCAGCCCACCCAGGGCTGAGGTAAGTTTCCTTGTGTTTACTGTTCTCAGCTGGTGCAACTAATAGTGAAATGCTAATGTCTTCTAAATTAATGGCCATTTTCTCTCCCTTTGCTACAGTGTACTCAAACAGCCTGGAAATTTAAGCTCATTTGAACGTAATAGCATGGAATGGAAAGAATAAATTTAGACAAGGAAGGTAGTGGAAACTCATTTGAGTCTGGTAACAGAGAAAGTTTCTAAACAGATGTTTAGAAACTTAAGACTGTGGTTGATTGGGTGAAGAGAAACAGTTCGAGAGCCAAGGCATCTTTGCTGCCTGCAAAAGGGTTTCTTATGGAGAAAGAGGGACAGAATAGGAACTGAAAACTGGACCCAGATGAACTAGTTATGTGATTTGGGCTACCTTCTATACGCTGAGAACAAAGTGATCCTTACTTCACAGATGTGTTGTGAAAGCCTTCCTAAGAGAAGCAATTGGGCCTGAAAATCAGATGTACAAGGAAAGAAAAAATTTTGACGAACTGGAGAAAGGATCTGGGCCTGTGTGCTGTGGCATCTCACAGTCTTGTTATCTGTCTTTACTTATCCACTAATTGTGATAGTTCTGTTTCTTTTTCTCATTTCCTATGGCTTAGCTTCCCTTTCTTCCACATTCTCTGTATTTCTTCCTAGTTATATTCTGCTGCCTCTGTTAATGAAAACTGAGGTGAAATTTTCAGGGTTTTGATTTCTGTATCACCAAAGGGCAAAACTATAAAAACCAGAGTGTTGTAATTTTTTTAATTTGTTTTCTGTACAAAGAACCAGGGAGCAGATCAGTAGAGAATTAAAGCAATAAGGAAAATAAATCTGTTTCACTGCTGGTGGATATTTCCCCATCTTCCATTCTGGACATTTTGGACTTAAAAAGAACAAGTAAATTGTGTTTATAACTTTTTTTTTTTAACTTCACAATTGTTCTAGTGATGGTATACCCTTACATAAATTAGAAAAATGAATCCTTTATCTTTGAATAGATAACACTGATGTATTTCAAGATTTTTCCCAAGGCATTTTAGTAAAAGAATATAAATTTCAGTTCAGAACTGTTTTTGCATTTGTTTTTTATTTTCAAGTTAAAACTGTAAGATAATTATCTATTTTGAGAGGTACAAATGATGAAGCATGAAGATTAAGCATAGTCATGTTTAATGAATCATGACTGTAAGTATTTAAAAATTCAGTATCCTTTTAAATAATCTATTCCTATATTACTGTTTTATACTGTAAGGAATATGGTCAGAAGAGCAATATTTTACAGTGCAGAAACAATAGTTGATTTTAAAGAATGTTGCTATATTGTAGTAAATGCATCTTGAATTTACGTACTAATCTGTGGTTGTCTCTGCATACATAAAAGACCAATCTCTTAAGTCTTAAACATCTATCTGAGGACCCATCAGTGATTTTGTGATGGAATTTTAATTAATTTATTGTTAAGAATAATGGCAACAGACAAAAAATTGCTGTTATTTTTTAAGTTTTCACGTTACTCATAATATAAATACTTCAGGGTATGCTTTAAAAGATCCTACTATGTTTATACTTGTTTTTTTGTTCCTTGGAATTACTTTGCAGACAAACATATGGCCTTAGAAGATAACATAAAGGAACTTGGAAGAGCAATGGCTGGAATAGGAGAAACTGATTCAGATAGAAGTGGTAACTTGGATATCTTCAGCATTGACCAAGCCAAAGCAATCATTGATTACATAAATATCAGGTACTACTCCAGGATATATTGTTTCTTATTCAAATGATTTAATGTTGTGGGAAATCTGATGATGAAATAAATTACAATTATTTAATTGAATATGTCCATAATGTGCCAATATGCTGCACACACAAAACTTAAAAAGTGGAAAGGAATGAAAAATTTAGATTTTCATCTTGATGTAGGATTATGCTGAAAATATTTGATTTGAGTTTTGATTAGAGAGATTTAAAGGAAAGGAGAAAGTGATGGATGGAGACTATTATTGCTTTTAAAGCTATTTAATTCTAGATACCAACCAGCTGAATAATATCCTAGATCTCATCTACAACTTTCAGTATTTCTGTGGTCTTGTTAGTTGCAGTGAACTTGTTAACTGGCTTATAGTTCTGTGCTTTATGGAATTAAAGCCATGGTAGATCTGTATGAGCAAATGAGAATGTATTTCAAAGTTAGCCTAAGTCCACTGTCTACATGAAGAGATTTCTTGACAAGTCTCAATTTTTAAACAGACACAGAAATATATGAATTCAGGAATAATTGGTGATAATTAGAAAAAAATGAGTGGTTAGAAGGTAGCCAATCACACATCTCTCCATATAAGGTGTTACCTCTCTAGTAACACGTATATAAACTTTTCTCCTTTGAAGTACCGTGGTTAAGGAAGTGACTATAATCCTATACTACTGTTTCCTGTACTGTATGAGGTGAACAGAATGGTCCCTCAACTTACTGTATTACCCATGAATATCTGCAGCCAAGAAAAGATGGAAAATAGAAAAGATATGATTGTAACGTTTGCTTACACACCATATTGTATTATAGCCATTTAGTCTGTTTCTTGAGCAGAACAGTGGTGTTCTGTTTGTGGATTTTTGTTGTTAGAGGTATTTTGGTTGGTGTTTTTTTTTCATGGAAGGTAAAAAGAACTTCAGGATTTTCCCATATGAAACGAGAGCATCTTTTTAAATGTCAAGTTTCTATATCAAGGCAAACCAATGTCCTGCCAAGAACGAACCCTAAACTAAAAGGAAAATTGGCATTTCAGATGTCTCACTCAACTTCTTCTACTTCTCCTTTCCTGTCTGTGCCTTTTGTATATTTATTTTGAATAAATATTATTTCCAGATAGGATCTCTATGGCTCTTGCATAGATTATCTATTAAAAGAGATCTTATCCATAAAGTAAGTCCTCCACAGACTCAGGAATTTCATCCGAGAGGTGAGGTGCTCCATCCTACTACTGCTGAAGTAGTAAGTCAACAAGAATACGATCAGGATGCAATATTTTAGCAGCAGCATTATTGTGGCCACCAGACGTGGTATCATGTTCAAGCTGCTCAGAAGTACATGCTGTTGCAAGGTTATGGATATGTGCGCATACACATAAATATATATGTGGATAAATATATGTATGTCCACAAGCATTGTATATATCCACTTTCTATAATCCATTATTTGAGTCAGTTGAATACTTTTTTCTAAAGATAAACTGAATCAGCATGATTTTTATGTAATTGGATTTTGAGTTTTATGAACTCAGTTGACTGAGTTGTAATAAAACTCAAATTAGTGTATTACTTCAGCATTTTTTCTTATTCTTCACTCTTTTTTTTCTTTAATTTGAAATGATAAGTCTATAGCTTTCTTCTTCTACTCAAGATAATATGACACATTTTAGTTCGGATCACATTTTTACAGGTGAGCTATAAACCCATGGGATTTATAATGGAAATGGGAACAAATGCTTCACCACATCGGCACAAACTGTGTAGCAACTCTAATGATACCTTCAGGTTTGGTGGAAGGTGACAGTTATCATCTTTTTATCTTGTATCCTGCAGCAAACGCACATCATCGTAGCTCTTGACATTTCTTTCAGGAAGCATTGGAGCTAGGAAAATATGTCATCATTAATCATCTTCATATTCTCATATGACATCATAAGTGGTTCTATTCTTAAAGATCTTACTTTGCATGAGTAAAATATTTTTTCTTTAATTGCTGAAAATATTGGCACAAGCTCTTAAGTGTTCGCAACAGATACAAACAAAAATAAAACATTTTACGTAATTCCTGATAGAAGAAAGAAAACTACACAGTGGTTTTAACATGAATACTGATGTATATTCGATGTGATTTGATTTGAAGGGCATTAAAGAGAGAAATTCTCTCATTTATATAGAATTAAGGGGGCCAGGTCAAAACAGAGTTGTTTGAGAAAATAAAAATATATTCAGAAATATCAAAAGCAAAGAAATACTTTTGAAATACTGTGAATTATGTCTACATGTAACACAGTCCATAGAGAATATCATAACACAGTTAGAAAGTCCAAGGGAAAGTTCTGTTTTTCAGCTGCTCTCAATCTGGCTTCTTTCCAAGGCATTGGAATAAATAAAAGAAATAATTTTAAAATGTTAGAATCTGTCAATACAGTTTGAAATACATATATCTTGTATGTCTGTGATATTCATAATTTTTTTTTTTGTCTTTTTCAAAGAATCTCTATTAGATTTTTACCACAAATAGGCATGTGAGTGAAGGGACACATATAATTTCATGACTTTATCTGAGTCATTTCCACACAAACATAGTTCATAATCAAATTCCTGTATTTCCACCGAAACATGACAGGAATTATTTGGTGAAATACTACAGTAGATATGTACTGCAGATGAAATGTCAAATACTGTAGCAACTTAATTACCTGTTTGCTTTGGGTTGGAGGAAGGTAACTTGCAGTTTATGATAGCCAAATGTCTTATTCAAGGCAGTGATCAAATTTGTTTTTTTAGAAATGCTAATTGGCTGAATTAAATGCAACTGTAGAATAAAACTTTTATATGGCTCTTAAAGAGCCAAATGTTCAGTGAGGCTGCCATAATACTTCACACAAAATTAAGAAATGCATCTGTACATGTGTTGAAAAACGTCCGCACCCATTTGGGCACAAGTATATTTGGAAGTTTCATGGATGCATTTAACTAACTGTGCTGCAGAATGTGTAATTGTAAGATAGAAAGGCAGTGGCACCTTTGTGCTCTTTGAATTCTGAGCTGCACTCAACACCTTCAAGGAGCACTGCTGTCTGTTAGTTGGCACTTCAGCACTGCTTACATTAGAGCAAATCATCTCTGGTCTGCAGCATTTTGTGGAAGCTGCGTGGTACTGTGACAGTGGCTGGCAGCACTGTGTAAGTAAAGGTGGTGATTCAGGGAAGGACCCTCAGCTAAAACAGTGTGTGCTGAACATAGACTCCCCGAGATGGTTTTCTCATTTCCTTCCAGAGCCAGGATTGGATTTCAGACACCTATATCCCAGCGCAGCAGCCCCTCCCTTTGCAAGCACCTGTGCTGGGTGCATGGCTGTGGGGTGATGGAAGAGCCCCAGAGGTGTGGGGCAGCCAGCCAGGGTGGCAGCTGCAGGGGCTGGTTCCATAAGAGCCTCAGGTACCATCACGTGTCGAAGAATGGCCCATGATTAGTTTTGTGGCTGGATAGAGTACTGTAAACACATTTTCAATGCAAAAGCATGTATGAGCACATTTTTAATAGTATATTCCTGAAGTATTTCACTCAAAAAAGCTGGTTTAACTACTTTGTAGTCAACAAATGCTTCAAAACACTTATTGTTGACTTGGAGATGTTCTACCTGCTCTTCCTCCACTGCTTCTACTTTTAATACTTTGACCAGGATTTTGTGATAACTTTTAAAATTACTTGCATTATGATTAAATTACTGCAGAATTTTTACTCTTAAGATGATATTTTTCTAGCATGTACTGTGCCTACCACAATATTGACTTTGATCTTTTGAAAAAGAAAAGAAAAAAAAGGAAAAACTTGGAAACTCTGTATTTGAGCATCATACTTATGCTCCCAATAAAAAATTCACATATATTTCTGACCTAGCCATAGGATTATTCTGGTACTCTATTCAAGAGATACATAGCAAAGCAGGGAGGAGCTTCTCTGAAAGTATTCAGATAAAAATATAGCTTTAAAAATGTTGGTAGAAATGCTCTGACAAGGGACTGTCAGTGCCCATGTGTGCTGTCTTTGTACTGGCAGTTAACTTACAGACCAAAGGACTGTAGAAGCAGGGTGCTGCCTTCCTTTTGAGAGGTGACATATAAAATATAACTTAAAATATAAAAAAAACTTTGAAGGGACATATAAAATTAACATCCTGGTCCAGAAACAGTGGAAGGCTTAGGTGTGCAAGCATAGTGTTAGTATGGTATCCAGTATCTAGCAGCAGTGTCATTAGTATTAGGTAATTGCACATGTTGTTGTAATAGTTACTTCACAGACTAATAGAGACACTGAGATTGGAAGAGATGTGTGGAGGCCATCTAGTCAAAACCCAACTGAAAACATGCCTCAGTATTCCAGATGTGGCCTTGCAAGTGTTGAGCAGAGAGGTACTGCCATGCTGGCTAGAAAAAGCCATACTGACACTCATGGGGGGAAAAAAAGAATCAAAATGAGCCTGTGACCTATCCTTAACCACAAAGCATAGGAACCAGTTACTGACATTCTATGAAAAGCTTGCCATATCCTTCATGGGTATATCAGAGGAATGTGATAAATTTAGAATCATTCTTCAACCTGAACTTGCTATGAAACTGTAGAGCTGTGTTTTAAATCATATGTCAGAATGACGTGACAGAAGCCAGAAGTTCTGCATTGTGATTTTAAGAGAAAAAAGTAATTGTAACAGATGGACTGTGAGAAAGTGAGCCTTTGATTAAAATCATACCATATCATTGATCATAAAGAAAGGAAACAAGGAATAATATTTAAAGCGTGAAATGGAAAGCCATATATGTTTTAAGGAAAATAAATATGTTAGGCCATTGAGATGGTCTACTTTGTTACTTTTGTAGTAATAAGCAAAACTGCAGTATGCCGACCTGGTCTTCTAGCTTTTCTTTAAGAAAATTATACGCTGATTTTGAAACGTGATCTTGAGAGAATAAATGCTTCCTTTTTTTTTTTTTGCTTTGTCTTCCAACATCAAAATTGATTGCTGGACCAGCAGCCCAAAATCTGCGAGGTCATTTGGCTTTGTTTCCTGCTTGTTCACCACCACCGATATTAAAGGCATGAGTATCCTGGTGATAAGTGTTGCAGAGATTACTTTTTTTCTAAGTAGAACTTAGTGTTTTCAGAGTTTGACTTCGTAAAAGAAAGCAGATGTATTGTACTGTATTTCCTACAGCAATCTAAAAGTAAATCCCATAAATTAAACACACTGCATATTGTAGCTTATAGAAGTTAAACAGCAGTTTGCTGAAGTTAGCCAACATCTTCCTAACATTTGGAGTATGACTGGTTTGGAGAGTGACTTTTAGTGAAACAAAATTTTACTTAATATTGCCTTTCTAAAAATTTAAAGCTGTACTAGTATTACTTTTTCTCTTGTTTTGCAGCTTATTTCGACTCTATAAATTGTATGAATATATCTTCCACAGTCCTAGAGAGGAACATGTGATAAGTAATGAGGTAAATCATTTATATAGATGGAATTCATTATGTAGAGTTATTTAATGAATGCACTCTGGCATATGTTTTGTATTGCTCAAAGCAACTTCATGTCAACATTACTTCATTACTAACGTAAAATGGCTGATTAAAGAATATAAGTTAGATATTTTGATCCTCAAATTCAAAATTAATTTTGAATTTCAAAAAAGTGTAAATGCAGTGCTTGGTTAAAACGTTGTGTTAAATCAGCAAAAATTTTGTGTATGTATATTTAAGTTAGTGCGTGTCATTTGAATTAGTGATGCATGAGTCTGACTCTTATGTTATAATCAGCAATCAAAATCAGGAACTATTGTGTACCAAGCACGAGTCTGACCACAGTCCTGATATTTATGTATCCACAATTAATTCATATTTATTTATCCATCCACATTGGTCACCAATAGCTAAATATACCCATCATAAAGAAACAAGCTGGCTAGAAATCCTACATTTTGAAAATAGTGTTAACAGTGAATTGACTTGACTCTAAACTTTGTCATATTTTATAGCTTCTTTGTGAAAAAATGCGTAGAAAAATGTGTTGACTCAGGATGTGGTCTTAAATCAAACAGACAGGTTCAGTTCATCAAATGCACCTTCCTTTAGTCTGATAGTGCGTTTTGATGATATATCTTACCATACATCAGAAAGAATTTACATTTGTAATTTAGGAGACAAGTGGTTGCTCTGAGAGGTATGGTAGTGTAATTTCTTTTTTGGCACATATTTTAGCTTTTCGGTTCATAGCAAAGTTAAAGTTAATGCATCGGAAAATGTTTTTTTACACATTAAGCCAGTGGATTGGGTCTATGAGCAATGTGGTATAATTTCTTCCGGTGTCACTTTTAAAATAGCTTTGTTTGACGTGTGAGTTATTCTGAGGTTAGTTGTAAAGTGGCTTAAAATTCTAGCTCTTCTGAAATCATCAGCAAAACTCAGTGAGCAAGTAGAGCAGGACTTCATCATTGTACTGCTAAGGTTGTTTAGTTTTGCTTTTTTCATATTAGCTAAAAAGATCAGTGGTTGGCTAGAGCTTTCCAATTGATAAAAAGATTTTTAATGAGGCTTTGATTACATAATTTCTTTAGTAAATCTGCGCAGTTTGAAAGTATCACCTCTGATGAAGGTAGAGCTTCCGCTGTGGAAAAGCAGAAATGCGTTTCTGTGAAGGATTTTGGTGGTAATCCATAAAGGAAGAAGCACAATTCAAATATAACTGTTACAAAAACTTTCATGACAATTTTTAGCTGCTGCTCTCTTCCAGTTGTTTGGGGTTTTTTTTTTTTTTTTTTTTTTTTTTTTTTTACTATGCATTAGTTTGGTTTAAACTGTTTTGTATTTTGAGCCCAATGGTGGAGACTCTCTTTAATTTGTCAAACCACCATGCAATATCCAAAATGACCAGTTCTTATATTTGTATAGAGTTTATTTTGATATAGGGTGAATATTGTTCTTCAACAAGTTACAGTTTAGCACTTCAAAGCTACACAAATTTATACAAATTTATGGCATTATCTGCTCTTGTTTAATATGCTGAAATGTGATAATTGGTGTACCCAGCATAGTCTTAAAGCTCTCTTTCTATAAAAATGCTTATCCATAAAAAAGGAGAGTGTTATCTTCTACATTTACAGCCCCTTAGATGAAGAGGTCACCTGACAAGTTAGAGGGGCAGATGTTGTTTGATGCATATGGCTACAGCAGGAGCACGCCTGGAGTCATGTGCTCTGCAGTGCATGTGCTCAGCAAGCAGAAGGGACTGGAGATTTGTCTGGGAAATCTGTGTGCTTAAAGTAGATGATAAATCTGTGATGAAAGGTTGACCGTTGTCTTACTATGTAGATCACCATCTTGGAATAAATAAATAAAAATAAAGCCTCTGTAGACATCCCATGGCAAACAGCTGGATGTTTTGTAACTCCTAAACTCACTGCTGCTAACATCTGAACAGTTTTCCATTACCTTCAGCAATGAAAACTGTTATTTTGGAATGAGAGACAGTAAATTGTAACAACCATATTTGCCCAGATCACAAGTACCATAGTATTCTTAAAGCTTAGTCATTATTACCTTATTTTGCAAATGAAGACTTGGAGACAAGTCAACAAAGATTTGCTCAACTGGGATGGCTTGCTTTAGCAATTTGTGTTCCATGTATGCTGAACGTATTGCCTACTGAATAAAAGTCCACTAGCCTAATAAGAAGACCTGCATTTTCATAAGAGATTCAGCTATAACAAATAAAAGCAGTCCTTAGTGTTGCAATGAATATCCTTTCATGGAAGCCCTGGTATGTGTTTTCCAGATAAATCTTGTAGCAATGGATTATACGCCCATTGAATTTTATTTTTTCTCTGGTGTGGGCAATTATACAGCGTTCTCAATCAGATTTCCTTTTTGATCTTTCACTGCATTTATTTCCAAATGACCCTGTCATTTCCTGTGTAGAATAAAATCAGACAAGAAAAGGGAAATGACTCAAAACTGAGTTAGATTATGCATACAATATCTATGGGCTTGCCACTTAACAAAATCTAAGTTACTTAAATATGGCACATAATTAGTGGAGCTTCACAGTCTGATTAATATTCTGAGTTTGATGCAGCTAGCATAATAAAGCCCAACTTTGTGAAATATAGACAGTATTTAAATCTTTTTTTTAAAAAAAGGAACAAATGACTGGCTAATTTAAATATATTTCTGCATCGGCTAAAGCCTTTAAATCAAACTGCCTGAGGTGATCATACTGCCTAGGAAAAAAAAAGGTTAATACTGAAAGAAATGAAAGCTTACTTAGATGATAAAACACACATCATAAATCTAACCTAGTTTGGCAGTCTTTAAAATTTAAAATTGCATTTCCAGCTATCAAATCCCTTACTTCTCCTTCACTCCAGATCTACAAAGACCTATATATTACATATGCACAAATACCAGTTAGAAAACACAATGGTACAAGAATATAATAAGATGTGTTAAGATTGCCAAGTACATTCATTGCTTTTTTTGTTTGTTTGCTGTGTTACTATTAAGAGCAGTTCCCTACATTTAAATGGACAACAGAAGAAACAGAGCTTTAGTGAGACTGTGACCATAACCAAATTAAAATGCATGCAGGACTCACATACCGTACATCTTAAAGAATGCTATTTTTAAAAATAATGTTTCTACCTTTTATCCCTTCTGGAGGTTTTGCCCTCTAGCTGTGATTTTAGTGCTTTTATATTAGCCTGCAAATTCAAAGAAAACAAACAGAGTACAGACTAAATCTTGATGTGCAGGGATTCAATGGAGCAACACCCATTAATATGTCAGATCTTATAACAAATGTTTAAATTGTTAATACATGAATTTTGTAGAAGTTTTTATTATTTCCTATTTTCAGCTAGTTTATTTTGCTTTGATAGGGTGAGGCATTGCTGCCCTATTTTTTTTCTTTTTCTTTTTCCTTTTTTTTTTTTTTTTTTCTCCAGATTTACAAATTGTATCTTATACTGTAGTTCATGTTTTTTTGCTGCTCTCCATTGTGTATTTTTGGATGGAATGAGGCTAAGGTCTTCTGGGATTATGTCTGCTTTGAAACATTTCCTAATAAAAATAATGTGGTTGGTAAATCTAGTTTTATTCCTGGCTGCTTTAGCCAGCCTGATGGAGTAATCTGCTATTTTATGGCCCAGATGACTAGCTAAGTTTGACTTCTTGAAGTAGTAGTGTACAATGTAATTTTCTTTAGAGATGTCATAGCGGGTCAGGTTGCAATAAAAATATCGAAGATTAAGTTTAATGGCAGTGCAGACTCAGTATTATAGCAGTCACTAAGTATCATCCCCGGTACTTACAGCTCCAAAACAGTTTCCATTAATGCTCTCTTTCCATGTACTCTTACTTTCTGAAACATTAAGCTTTTGGAACGTGTCTGGTCTTTACACAAATGTGGGTGGGTTTTATTTTGTTTGGTTGATTGGTTGGGGTTTTTTATTTTTTTCTTGTTAGTTGATTGAGTTTTTTGTTGTTGTTTTGTTACCTTTTGGGTTTTAAGTCTGAACCAAAATCCCTTCCATCAGTAGGAAGTACTATTTGAAACTATATACTATTTGAAAGCAAATTAAGCTTTCTTCACGGCAGAAGTCCTGAAGTCTGGGACTTCACTTTGATATATAAATCTGATTCGGTGTTGCACTTTTACTTTGGTTAACCAATCTCTTTTTAAACAGATTTGCTCAGTGATTCTTGAGAACTCCATTTTGAGGATGTGTGAAACCAGAACATTTCTATGAGTATCAGTTCACGCTAGAGAGACCCATTCCCCAGCTAATAGAGTGCGTGCTTTTTAAAGCTTAAAGGTTTCAAATATTTGTAATGCTTAAAAACCACAAGTTGATTTACTGTAGCTTTGTTTTGTAAATATTAGCATAGCAAAGATATCAAGACTAGTTCAAAGGAAATAAGAGCATACTACTGGAAAGGACCTCTGCGATTTTCAGATCTATTGCTGCCTTCTCATTAGGTAAACATATATAATCCTCTTCAGAAATGTGTCTAACTCAAGCTTAAGAAGTTAACTTTTTTGTCTCTGCTGTTACTGTTAGAAAAGTGCTCTGGAGCCTGATGGCTGTGATGATTCCAAAACTTTTAATTTCCAGTCTAAATGTATTCACAGCAGGCTTATATGCACTTATCCATGTGCCAATTTGTGCCAGTATTGACCTTTAGATCTTGTTTGGTTCACAGTGTTTATTTTTCTAGCATATAAAGAGACAGCAATCTTATTGTCAGCCTTCATTTAGCTGAATTTGAAAAGCCAATCTTCCCCAATCTCTGCTTTTAAGATGTTTGGTTTGTTTTTTTTTTCTATATGCATTCTTACATACACAGCAGCCTTTAGTCATCCTGTTGGTCATTTTCTGTAACTGTTCCACTTTAAATTAGTTTTGTTTGAGCATAAGTGACCAAACTGCACGTAGTATTGTAGCTGA